CCCCCCCCCCCCCCCGCGCGCTCATACTCGTAAAATAAACTCGTACAGTTTATCATAATTCCTGGGCTCCCTGTGGTGTAACCTATTGTAGTAAGTTATCAACATCTAGCACTACTTCAGCGTCAAATCAGTGCCTGGAATTGCTGTAAGAACCAGTAGTGAGAGAGATAAATTTATTTCCATTATGAGCAACAAACATATGTAACTTCCCATAGCTCAATTCATTAAGTTGAATGAGTTGGGACCATTAAATAGTGTTTTTTTTTTTGTTTTTTTTCCTTTCTTTATTTGTTTTGAGATGTATGACCATTTTTATCTTCTTCGGGAGATATTATGAGTTAATAAATATTACTAGATTTGATGCCGTCTGTGATTGGAAGATTTTGAAAAAGCTATAAATAAATCAGACCACAAATCCTTGAAAATAAAGTTTTGAACTGATATATGCACACGATGATCGTCATCGACAAGTATACAGGGACGATAACAACTATAGTTGGGAAACGGATACCATCAATAGTTAGCATTGTATGTCACTATAATCTTCCTTTGATCAATGTGTAATTAAATATGTAAATGTGATATACCTGTCCTTTCAGTGGAAGTAGCACACGTGGTTAAGATCTTAATTGTTGACAACACGTTTATCTCCGAGTTAGCCATTTTGAGAGTGTAAGCGCCCTCTGGTGTCAGAATCTCACCGACACCTCAACTTTGTGTTTATTATTACAAGATGGCGGAGAGGAAAACTATGGCGGACCTTTGATCGTACGTAAATTGTTTGTGTAAATTACGCCACCTTTTCGCTATTTGTTCCAGTCGAGTACTGTCGTATTTCAGTGGTACATTTTCCCGACTGATAATTATTATATCTGTAAATATGTATCGAGAAAAATGGAATTTGTCCGTGTCGGTGATCGTCATTTTGTTACTTCCTGTCGCGGCATCAAACACAGGTAATGTTTATTTATGCATACATGTATGTACGTTGCTGTCACTTATTTTTGTCGACACTACTCCCCATAATACGTCACATGCGATCAGCCATACTATATGGCCATATGGGTCATAACATTTATTGACAAACACAGGCACAACAACGCGTATCGCCCTGTACCAAGTTCAGTTGTTTGTACTTTTTAAATATTTCGATGATTTGGTCATCAGCAGTCTTGGGGTCCATCCATATGAAAATTTGAGGGGAAAGAAACTGGTTCTCCGCAGTTGTTTTGTTCACATTTCTATGACGATAATATTGTTATGTTTTTATTCTTATATTTCAGCACTGTTTGAAATTAACCATTGTTCATGTGTTCTGCTCTACCCGCTATTGTCAAATGGAAAACCCCTAACTAGTGTTTATTTCTACATGTTTGGTTACTGTAGAATACTTTATTTTCGCTTGGAATTTATTTTCGCTATTTTTGCTGAAGGGGTGATTCTGTGTAAATAAAATCCAGCGAATATACTTTTTTTCCTATATTTCACATTAAACTCATCAAAAATCAGTGAAAATAAATTCCATATAAAACGCGCAAAAAGCCTTTTCAGTGAAAATTAATTCCAGCGAAAATAAAGTATTTTATAGTAAATGGTACAATTATGTGCTAATACACTTATTTCAGGTCACCCATGTATGGATGTGTTTACAATTAATTTATAAATGTTTAAAAAAAACTAAAATATGCCAATTAAAAATCGTATGAACAATAATAGCAACTAGTTTTGTCCAATCAGTGTCTTTCATACAGTGGGTACAGAATCTGAATATATGAATATTTACAAAATTTGATTATTATTATTTAGTTATCATCAATGGGTAATCCAAAATTAGCGTAAAGGATTTTTAAAACTAGTAAAAAAAATATGATTAATTAAAAATTCATAAATGTATTTTAGGTTAAGAGGCAACTGCAGGCATACATGTATAAAAGGAAAGACAACAACAAGTTTTCTGTATGTACGGCACACTTGATGCTGATACATCTTGTCAGAGTATTTCTGCAAAATTGCAGTTTTTGATAATTATCGAATAAAAGATGATAAGAATCAAAGTGTTAATCGAAACTGTTACCAAAAATACATTGTACTTGTACAGATAATAATAATAATATATCTGGCACATTAGTAGTTAACTATTAGCACATCTTTAAAATTATATTTCTGGATGGGTATAATATGGAACTAATATAATTCGTACTAAACACATTTAGATGTACGTGTTCTGCAATTATAAATTTTATAAAAGCAGCTCAGTACATATTCTTTTTAATCTATATGGCACATAAATTACTGTTTTGAATATAATAATATTAGGTTATCTCAAGAATATTGCAAAGTATACATGAAGGCAGTATGGCAATGGTAACGGCTGATGTGTAGCGAAGGTCTATGTGACTACATACTGCCTGAGTTTCATATAGTATTCAGTATTTTTGTAGTACTTATTGAATTAGAGATTGTTTTGTGTTGTATGAACGTTTGTATTCAGTAACAAGATTCCATCGCTTTATATAGCACATCTGCATCTAATTTAAACAATGGGAAATGTTCGAATGTGATGTCAGTGACCTGGAACGCATCAATATTGGTGATATAGCTTACCCTATACATGTACAGTATAAGGGAAAGTTTGATCGTTCCACACATGCTGATACATACAAGTGCTGATAAAGCATTTTAGAGAACGGCAAATTCTATTTTTTTTTTGCCACATACATGTAATAATTATTAACATACATCTATCACCGTAACGCCATAAGTCATAGTGTTCCGTAATTTTGCGGTATTGCACTTGGTATTTGCACCCTAATGCAAATTTCAAATATGGAACAATTACATGCGTATGAATTCTCTAATATAAAAATAAACATAGCAGCCCTGGACCACACACAAAGAAGTTTGCTGAATCTAAACTTTTTGGATTTTGGCATTCCCATGATGTATCCTTGAAAAGAAAAGATGTATAATAATAATAAGATTATTACTAGGATACCGCAAAGTATGCAATCAGACAGTATGCGGTTGCATTGATACTCCTGCTGTACTGTCTTTGTGTATACTTTGCGGTATCCTCGTAATTACCTCATATTATTATACTTCCTTCACTGTCTCTGTAACTAAACGCATGCCATCATTTTGTGTCATTAGCCATCATTTTCGTTATAACGTGCATGTTTGAAAACCATGTTTATGTAGCTTAAACTGGAAAGTTCCACAGATTGTCACTTCATCTTGCTCAGATTTGGAAATTTCATGCTCATTTACTACACAAGTTATAAAATGCAATGCAATTTTGTTGATCATGACTTCTTATGACGTCTAGTAAATAATTTTAGTACTGATTTTTCAAAGTTGATCTGAAACAAAATAACTTGCATTGATCTGCAGTTTGGATATACTATTGCGATTAATAAAGTGATGCTGTTCAATTTTCAACCTTAGTAAACTGTCGTTTTTTTTGTTTCATTACCCATTCTCATTCGATCTTGGAATACCAGCTAGGACATACTCATGTACTGAAACAACTAATAAATAACAGTTCAGGCCTCACAGTAAAAATAAATATTAAATATTACTGGAGGATCGAAGGGACCAAACATTCAACCTCTCTCTTTGTCTCTCTGTTTCTTTCTTTCTAGTAACAATTTGAATTATTTTTCAGACAATGAAGATTGTCCTAACTATGGTCAGCGTTCTAGTCGACAAGGAAATATAGCCAGTATAAATTATCCACAGTTATATCCACCAGACAAAGACTGTTCTTGGTTCATATCTAGTGAACATGATCACATTATTATCAGGTATATTACCTATCAGTGTCCTTCATCAGTGATCTGAAACTTGAAAGCGGAAAGAACCCCAAGACAGGGGTGATCACTGTAGTGGGTTCTTTCCCATTTTCAAAACATTTTTTCAGTTCTGAAATGTAGACTTCTTCATGGTAAAACATTTCCTATTATAAACAATTTTGATTTACAAAAAACAATAACAAAACATAGAGTACCGGTAAAACAGGTTTTTATTTAGAAAATTGTGTTTATTTATGAAAATCACAGTAAACAGCTACATGTACCATAACATTTGTATTAGAAGCCACACACATATTTTTTGAACAATTGAGAACCAAAAATTCACCATTTCTCATATGTGTAGATGCTCTAATAGAAGCTGCACTCTGTTGCCTGTGTTGCATTGTTCCATTTTAATAGAGCTGCAGCTTCTATTACAAATTTTACAGTACAGTGTTTTGAGTCCATGTGAATCCAGAATAGTCATATCTTTTCTTGGTCTGTCCAAAAAGTGATGGCATTATTAAATATGTATGAAAATGAATGTGATTGTCCAAACATTTTTGATATCTTTCAGTGTGATGTCCATCATGTGTCAACAGTAGTTAAAAAAGTTAAATTAAATTAAGTCATACTCATTTTTTTTTTGGTTATTTTTGACAGTGTCATGAAGCCTTTGCTTCAAAAGTCACGCAATTATCCAATTTTGTTGATATGAATAAAAAGAAATATTGTTGGCTAGTCAAAAAATAATTTGAGTTCTGCTCTTTTGTCATTGTACTCTCATATCTCTGAAATGCATCTATAAGGCTTTTTTGTTGATATTTCTTGCATATCATTGGTGGCAGCTACTTAACAAGTCAGTGTTTTGGGCAAAAAAATGTTTATTGTAGGTGAAATGAAGTTTTCTCTGGTATTTGGAATGCATATGGCAATTTTGTTCCAGTTGGGTACAAATAAAAATTATAATAGAATACATATTATACTGAGATTTTATGATGGTCTATTTACTTTTAGGTGGTATTCATAGGCAGAATATGGTAGTTTTTGGTAATTTCTCTGGCATTTGGGCATACATTGTTTAAACCTTGTGCAAGGACAAATTATAATACATACCGGTATTATTATACATTTGTCACCATAACGCCATAAGATACAGCATGCTGTAATTTTGCGGTATTGCACCTGGGTATTTACCATATTATGAAACTCGAATTCCAAATATGGAACGATTATGCGCGTAAGCATTCTCTAATCATAAAAACTAACATGGCTGCCCCCCAGGGTTTGACTGAACCCAAACAAAGAAGTTCGCTAGATCTGTTCTAAACGTTTTGGATTTCGACATTTCCATGATGTATTTCTGGATTAGAAAAGATGTATAATAATAAGGTTATTACGAGGATACTGCAAAGTATGCACTCAGACAGTAAACGGTCACATCGTTCTTTTCTGCGCGTCGGTCGATACTTTGCTGTGTGTCGGCCTTCATAATAACCTCATAACATACTATAATACATATTCTACTGGCAATATATGGTATTCCATGCACTTTTAGGTATTATTTTTGGATGAATTTAGTAATTTTTGGTAAAAAATGGGATGAAAACATTTCTTTATTAGAATTTCTGTTATATTATAACCCAATATGTGTATTGTCTTTTTTTTAGCTCTGCTGTCGACTTTGCCGAGCGGAGCTTATCATATGAGTGATTGTCCGTCGTCGTCCGTGTCAATGTTTTACTTTTTCGACTTCTTCTTGAAAACTACAAGCCTGAATGCTTTGATACTTGATGTATATGTACCCTTGGGTAGACCTCTCTCAGATTTGTTCATTTCATGATGATATATTTAATTCTCTAATTTTGGTGAATATTTTTGTCATTTTTGGTAAAAAGTGATATTTTCGACTTCTTGTTAAAAGCCGCAAGTCCAATTGCTTTGATATTACATATATAGGTACTACATTTGGACCTCTCTCAGATTTGTTCATTTCATGATGATATCTTCAATTCTCTAATTTTGATGAATATTTTTGTAATCTTTGGTAAAAAGTGATATTTACGACTTCTTGTTAAATTTCTTTGATATTACATGTATAGGTACTACATCTGGACCTCTATCAGATTTGTTCATTTTGCAATAATATCTTTAATTCTCTAGTTTTGATGAATATTTTTGTAATTTTTGGTAAAAAGTGATATTTTCCACTTCTTGTTGAAAACCGCAAGTCTGATTGTTTTGATACTATACATATTGTTCATTTTCTAATGATATCTTCTGTTCTTTAATTGAAATGTGCATTGCCAACAGCGGAGCTATCTCAGCTGAGAGGCTGCTTGTTTTTACTGCATTGTCATAAAAAATCAACCTCAGTGTTCTGTGTGATTCAGTTTTCTAGCGTTTGATTTAGAAGATGGAACACTTTGTGAGAATGATTATCTGGAGTATGGTCCTGCACTTGGTGGTAGTGTGAAACTGTGCGGAAGTCAATTACCCAATCCTATCATATCAACTAGGGATCATGTATGGCTTAAATTTCACACTAATACAAAGATACAACGATCTGGATTTTTGTTAACCTATGTTGCGAGTAAGTATGCAATACTTAATAACTTAATTATTATACATCTTTTTCCACTTCAGAGTAATAATTTAAGAAGAGATAACAGCCTTAAATGGCTACCGAAAATGTGTTGCATTGTGTGAACGTTTGCGTTCAATGACAGAATTTTATTTCTGTTGCGCTATAGTGCTCCTGTTTCCTGCAAATTTAACGTCACTGTAATTGTCAACACAAATAGTTTGCCTTATATTAAAGAACAATTTGAACGTTCAAATCTTTTTCTAGTGTCTTTGGTTCAATGGAACCAATGCCGATACGACTCTATATGGAACAGTAAATTTTATTGTTTTCTGTGTTAGATGTAAACTTTAAAATCAGTATTAGAAGCTGTATTCCTAATAGAAGCCTCGCCCAAATTTTTAAAGCATTGAGAATCATAAATTCACCATTTCTCATATGTTTATATGCTCTAAAAGAAGCTGCTCCCCTCTATTGCATTGCACCATCATGGTTTCTAATGCAGATTTTACAGCTGCCACGACCACAGAGTACCGGTATCACCTATTTTGTTAATGTGCTCACCCTTTATGCTTGTTCAAGGCCAATAGAGTATTATACTGTACCACAATGATGTAATGTAATAACCAAATATGGTAGACGATTGATTATATTGTACAAGTACTATAGGTTTTGGGTTTGGCCTCAAACACATTACATCTCACATTACTGAAAAATTAAATGTTTTTTTTATCTCATCTCTTTATTTATGTCTTAGGTTCAAATAGCACTCCATGTCGTAATGGTGAATTTCAGTGTTCAAATCAACTTTGTATTTTAAATGAGTGGCGTTGTAATGGAAAAAGTGAATGTGGAGATGGATCAGATGAAGATCCCCAATTGTGTAAGCCAGGTAAGACATGTAACTATGTGTTGCTTAAATGTTAATTGTATTATCTTATGGCATACTTTATGGATTTCTTGAACAAATCTCATTATTTATTAGTGAAAAGTTAAGATTGGAGTCAATGCCAAGCTACTTACAAGAGTGTTTCTGATTGGCTACCCAACCCTGAAACCTAACAGACAGACCAATCAGGGAGCAGCTTATTTGTTGACAGGTTTTTTCAATGTATCAAATTATGTCTTGTATATATGCTTCGACTTAACTGTACATTTGTTTAATCTGCTGTTCACTGTCAGGCGTCGTCATGTGAGGCATATTTTGATTCAAATGGATGTTGTTTTG